TGTGGAGCGCGGGACGTCCCCCGCCGTGGCAGGGCCTGCTGAGTTCGTGCGCGTGCGAAGGGGAGGGCGGCCTGACCGGGGCCAGCAGCCAGGGGGCCAGGGCAGCGCGGCGCCGCCTGAGCTGCGCCCTCTGGGGCGCTCAGGTTGCCCCGAGAGCTGCGAGCTGCTAGTCAGAGCGCTCCTCCTTCGCGCGCCCGGGAACCGAGCAGCTGCAGACTTGAGAAAGCAGCCCCGCCGGGGTCGTGACAGTGCCCCTCACAGGGACCCCGCTTTTGTTCCCACGGGAGTTTGTCTCAGCTATTCTGGGGTGCACTTTGTGGTTGGAACCGGGGGCGTGAGGTTCGCCCCCGCGGGTCTGCAGCCTGTCCTCCCCCGAGGATTTCTTCTCCGGGGCTGAGCGGTCTTCAGCATTGCTCCGAGCGCAGTTTTCCACCTGCAGCGACTGGCCAGGGGAGATCCCTTCTTGCGCCCGGGGCCGCGGGCCAGACCAACCCCCCTCCCATCGCAGGCGAAACTTGGTCCCGCCGTGACCCCCAAGAGACCGCATCTCATGATACAGATCATTTACGAGCCAAGATAAGGCCAGGAGGTGGGATTGGCCGAGAAAGCGGCTGAGTATTTTCTTGAAGGGTTTTCCTTTCCAGCCGGGAGGTGGGGGCTTTTGTGTGGATGAATGGAGCCGGTCTGCGTGGCCGGAGTTTTGGGGCTCGAATGCAGAACGCGTCTGATACGAAGCACTTTAAACTTCTTTCAAGTTGTCTTTATGTTTTCTATAGAAAACAGAAGAGCAAGCAAGAGGCAAGTGGAGAGAATAAAAACACTAAAGAGGGGAAGAGGAGAGAGAAACTGGGAGAGAGGAAAGGGGGGGGCAAGTTTGAAAAGAGAGAGCAGGGGGAGAAAGAAAGAGAGACAGAGACACCGAGAGACCAGGAATGAATGGGAAGGGCGAGGAGGAGGCAGAAGGACCGGCAAGCTCTCTCCCTGGCTTTGCGTTGCTAGGTAGCAGGAGGGAGCTGCGTGTGACCGACCACCAGACAGACAGAGCGGACGCTGCTGCCACCGCGGGACTAATCTGTCTGTGGGGATGGGAGAGTCTGCCCTTTCGCCTCCTGCCCCTTCCTTCCCGTCGGACAACTTAATTGACCTACAATGAAAATGAAACCCCTATTGTTGTAGGATTAGCCAAAGCAATAAATTGATTTCTCTGAATCACATATTGGGGTTGATGGTGGGGACTGTGGAAACCCCCATATTTGGAGGAGAGAGCAGAGGTCTTTTGGATGGGCCGTGGCATGTATTCAAATGGTTAATCTGCTTTTTTCCCCCTCAATTCTTAGCGTAAGCTCCTTAGAGGAATCAAGTAAGTAATTATACAGCAGCTCCTAGCAGCACCCAGTTCAGACTTCCTAGGAGGAAGTTTGGAATCGCCAACAAATCTCAACACACAGTCTTGCAAAAGGGTTTGGAAAGGGAGAAGAAGCAAGGGGAGGCCATTAGCAATTCCTTCTTGGAACACCTCTGCTTCTGTTGGTAACTGAAAGCGTTTACTGCAGTGGAAGGTTTGTACAGTACTTAGGGTTATATATATCTCATGCCCTAAATAAAGTGATAGGATTTAATATATATTCCTGTCAGTGTGGACAAAAGGAATCTTGTCCTGATTCATCTGAAAGTCCCCTTACAATCAAAATATGTTCTCTTCCCTGAGGTTGATGGTTTAGTCACTAAATAACCTGTATTTACTCTTCTTGGTGGCTTATGTCCATCTATCTTCCAGTCTATGATAATAATATATTATAATACGTACAGAAATATAGTTATATAACAGGACTATGTGGCCTGTTTGAATCCTGGCCCTGGTGGCTTGAAAAACATGCTGAGCACATGTGCATACATGCCCCAAGTCAGGACAGGACAGAGAAATGGAGAAGGGATTGTGGCATGGCCACACCTCAGTCAAGGGGTTGTCTCTCTTTCTCTCTGGGAAGCACATATACATTCTGGCAAATTAAAAAAAAAAAAGAAATAGAAATAGTTACATAACATACAATTCTAAATACTTTTATTGGCTCATTTAATTTTCATGATATCCCTTTGAAGAAAGTACTCTTGTTATCTCTATTTTACAGATGGGAAAACCGAAGCATAGGGCAATGAAGTAGTTTGTCTAAGATCATACTGCTAGAAAATGGCAGAACTATGAGGCAAACCTAAGGGATTGTGAGTCCAGAGTCCATAATTTAACTGTGATAGTGTTAAAGAAGTGTTAAGGAGACTAAGAGACATTTTGCAAATTTTAATATACAAGATAAAATCCAATTCTATTTCATTATGGTGGATTTTTTTTTCTTTTTGAGAAACTTCAAATTTCTAAGATCCAAATACAAGTCTTCTCATTCCTAGTCTTCCTATTTGATTATTTTTAGACAGCATGTCCTCGGAATGTCTTTGACATGGTAGGTTGAGGAAATTTCTAGGTTCCTATTGTATTTATCCTGACTCATCATATGAAGTAAAGTATGATGTCATTGTATAGGACCTTATATAAGCACCATATTTTAGGTAAGATCTCACTGCAAACTGAGTATTTTGTGATTTATTTATTTATTTGCTACAGGATATGTGCACTTGCTGGAGAGATGAGAGGGAAAAAGAGAAAGTGAGAAATCATTCCTCCAGGGGAATGGCCATGCCACAGTCCCTTCTCCTTTCTCTTGTTGGAATTTTGGGCACACTTGTACATGTGCCAGATGTGTTTTTCACACCACCAGGTCTGGGACTCAAATGGCACAGTCGGTCATGTGGGAGCCAGCTGCCTTGACCACCACGCCAATGACTGGCCCTGTTTTTTTTTTTTTTTTTTCTTTTAACTTACTCCACATTGGTAGTTAAGCATTATTTGCATTATCCTCATATTTTATATAGAACTTTTCCAGAAAAAAAGAGCTGGAATTTTAAACTGTGCAGGTTCCAACAGTGATTTCACTACTTTCTATCTATGTGACCTTGGAGAAGTCACCTAACTTGCAAAGCTTAGATTGCTTATCTGCAAAATTGACATAATAGTAAGAAAACCTATCCCATAGCATTTTGTGGGCATAAAGAGAAAATATATAAACAGCTTAACATAGTATAAGGCCTTTGGGCAATGAAAATAAACTAGTAGCTATTTTCATTATATTTATCCACATTTAAAGTGTCGTACTCTTTTGCCTACTATTATTCATACTTCCAATTTTCAAATGTACAATAGGAAAGTCTTTATGAATTTTCCACTCACAGATCTTTGAGAAATTCCCAGATCCCAGGATGTAATTTTAAGTTTTTTTTTTTGAGAAAATTGTTGAGTTTAAACAAAGTTACATTCTTTTTGTTTTCTTTTTTTTTTCCTGTAGTCAGGCAAGTGCACTCACCAGAAGAAACAGAGAGACAGTGAAAGGGAAAGTGAGAAATCACCCCCTGCGGGAGGTGGCCACACTTCAGTCCCTTCTCCTCCTAGGATTTTGGTCATGCATGCACATTGCTGGCATGATTTTCAAGCCATCAGGTCCAGTACTCAAACTGCATTCAGCCATGTGGGAGTCTAGTGCCTTAACCACTAC